AAGTTAAGCCTGCATCCTTCCTCTTGCTATCTCGAGTCGTTGTCCGGCAGTCCATGTCACCAGCCATGGCCTCTGTGGACAATTTCAATCCACCTCCCTGTAGAAAAGCAACCGGTACCCCCTCACCTCTCTCAGATGAGCCAACCCGAACCAGAGACTTTTCATCTCCTGTCGGCTTTCCCCCAATATTCAGTTTAAAAGCTGCTCTGCCACCTTTTTGATTTTAAGTGCCAGCAGCCTGGTTCCTTCTCGGGACAAGTGGAGACCGTCTCGCCTGTACAGCTCCCTCTTGTTCCAAAAAGTATCCCAGTGCCTAACAAACCTGAACCCTTCCCCCCTACACCATCGTCTCATCCACGCATTGAGACTCCTGATCTCTGCCTGTCTCTCCGGCCCTGCGCGTGGAACAGGTAACACTTCTGAGAAGGCTACCTTGGAGGTCCTGGACCTAAGTTTCCTGCCCAGCAGCCTAAATTTCTCCTCCAGGACCTCACGACTGCATTTCCCCACATCGTTGGTGCCGACATGCACCACGACCACTGGCTCCTCCCCAGCACTATCTACCAGCCTATCTAAAACACGCGTAATGTCCGCTACCTTCGCACCAGGCAGGCAAGTCACCATACGGTCAGTACGCGGGTTCGCCACCCAGCTGTCTACCTGCCTAAGGATCGAATCACCCACTACCAAGAGCCCCCCTCCCACCCTGCTCAGGGATGGTTCCTTGGTGCAAAAGGAGAGCCGCTCACCAGCTGGGGAAGAGGTCCCTTCTGAGGGCACATTCCCCTTATCCTCAGCATGGTGCCCTGTTTCCCCTAGACCCTCATGCTCCCTGACAGCAGCGGGGCTGCCAGATCCAGAGTGGGACGAAGCTAACAAGTCCCCGAGAGTCTTTTCTGTGTGCCTAGCTGACTGTCTCTGCTTCTCCAGGTCAGCCACCTTGGCCTCAAGGGAGCACACACGTTCCCTGAGAACCAGGAGCTCCTTGCACCGAGGACACACCCAAGACTTCTGCCCAGTGGGCAGATAGTCATACATGTGACACTCCGTGCAAAACACTGGATAGCCCCCAACCCCCTGCTGGCATTCTGGCTTCATAATTCTTTTAAAATAAATAAATATAATCCCCCTTTTAAACCCTTGGTATTTATGTGGGTTTTGTTATCAAGTCAAATTATTTTACGGGAAAGACAAAGAGCCTAGGGCCTTGTCTTTCTGGCTCTTTTTGGGCTTCTTACAGCGCCCCTAGTCTAAGAGTCCCTAGGCTAAGAGCCACAGGCAAAGAGCCCTTTAGCTCACCCTTCGGCTCGTGCCAGAGGCTCGTGCCTCTGCCAAGGTGCTTCCTTAAATAGAGGCCTCCCCCAGCAGAGGTCAGGCAGCAGCTATTCAAATTCAAATTCACCCAGGCACTCAATCACAGGCAAAACAATGCCCCTTCCACTTCCTCTCAATTACAGGCAATCCCAGTCAAACAATGCCCGTTCCTCTCCCACACTCAATCAGCCAGGACTCTGCAAGAACTCTAAGTGCTTCCACACACTGCTAAACACAGTTTTCCCACAAAATATCCTTAGCTGAATTCTCTCAGCTGAAAGCAAGTAAAAGAAACCCACTCACCTCTCTCACAGCTCTCTCTCCTGCTCCTGCTCAGAGCTCAGCTGGTCTCCTCTGCCTCTGGCAAGGTGCTTCCTTAAATAGAGGCCTCCCCCAGCAGAGGTCAGGCAGCAGCTATTCAAATTCAAATTCACCCAGGCACTCAATCACAGGCAAAACAATGCCCCTTCCACTTCCTCTCAATTACAGGCAATCCCAGTCAAACAATGCCCGTTCCTCTCCCACACTCAATCAGCCAGGACTCTGCAAGAACTCTAAGTGCTTCCACACACTGCTAAACACAGTTTTCCCACAAAATATCCTTAGCTGAATTCTCTCAGCTGAAAGCAAGTAAAAGAAACCCACTCACCTCTCTCACAGCTCTCTCTCCTGCTCCTGCTCAGAGCTCAGCTGGTCTCCTCTGCCTCTGGCAAGGTGCTTCCTTAAATAGAGGCCTCCCCCAGCAGAGGTCAGGCAGCAGCTATTCAAATTCAAATTCACCCAGGCACTCAATCACAGGCAAAACAATGCCCCTTCCACTTCCTCTCAATTACAGGCAATCCCAGTCAAACAATGCCCGTTCCTCTCCCACACTCAATCAGCCAGGACTCTGCAAGAACTCTAAGTGCTTCCACACACTGCTAAACACAGTTTTCCCACAAAATATCCTTAGCTGAATTCTCTCAGCTGAAAGCAAGTAAAAGAAACCCACTCACCTCTCTCACAGCTCTCTCTCCTGCTCCTGCTCAGAGCTCAGCTGGTCTCCTCTGCCTCTGGCAAGGTGCTTCCTTAAATAGAGGCCTCCCCCAGCAGAGGTCAGGCAGCAGCTATTCAAATTCAAATTCACCCAGGCACTCAATCACAGGCAAAACAATGCCCCTTCCACTTCCTCTCAATTACAGGCAATCCCAGTCAAACAATGCCCGTTCCTCTCCCACACTCAATCAGCCAGGACTCTGCAAGAACTCTAAGTGCTTCCACACACTGCTAAACACAGTTTTCCCACAAAATATCCTTAGCTGAATTCTCTCAGCTGAAAGCAAGTAAAAGAAACCCACTCACCTCTCTCACAGCTCTCTCTCCTGCTCCTGCTCAGAGCTCAGCTGGTCTCCTCTGCCTCTGGCAAGGTGCTTCCTTAAATAGAGGCCTCCCCCAGCAGAGGTCAGGCAGCAGCTATTCAAATTCAAATTCACCCAGGCACTCAATCACAGGCAAAACAATGCCCCTTCCACTTCCTCTCAATTACAGGCAATCCCAGTCAAACAATGCCCGTTCCTCTCCCACACTCAATCAGCCAGGACTCTGCAAGAACTCTAAGTGCTTCCACACACTGCTAAACACAGTTTTCCCACAAAATATCCTTAGCTGAATTCTCTCAGCTGAAAGCAAGTAAAAGAAACCCACTCACCTCTCTCACAGCTCTCTCTCCTGCTCCTGCTCAGAGCTCAGCTGGTCTCCTCTGCCTCTGGCAAGGTGCTTCCTTAAATAGAGGCCTCCCCCAGCAGAGGTCAGGCAGCAGCTATTCAAATTCAAATTCACCCAGGCACTCAATCACAGGCAAAACAATGCCCCTTCCACTTCCTCTCAATTACAGGCAATCCCAGTCAAACAATGCGGAGGTACTAGTTTTTTACTCTGCATCTTCAGCGGGAAGCCTCAGGTTAGCCATGGGAGCTTTACGTTTCCCAGATGTTGCGGTGTGATCGCGCCCGTAAAATCCGCCTACCATCCGTATCGTCCCGCGCGGCAAATGCTCCGTGTGACCGCAGCCACAGTAGTTTTAGATTTACTCTATATCAGTTGTAGACTGTCTCCCACTAAACTAGAGACCAAGAGGGGGAAATGTCACAGACCACACTGACCTGGAAATGAAGGAATCCTATTGTATCTTAGAGAGTGTTTCCTCCTCCCCATTTATTAAGATCTATGTGTGTTGTCTCATTCTATGTTATTTCTGTAGTAAATAAAATTCACTACTAGAGCATGAGGAATGGCTTTTTCGGTGGTGGCCGCCACCTTATGAAATCAATATGTGGAGATGTTTTCTCAGTTTCCTCCAAGATCACATTTCTATCACAGGCTAAAATAGGGTTGCCAACTCTGGGTGGGTACATTCCTGGAGATTTGGGGGGTGGAGTCTGGGAAGCACAGAGTTTGGGGAGGGGAGGGACCTCAGCAGAGTATAAGGCCATAGAGTCCACCCTCTAAAGCAACCATTTTCTCTAGGGAACTGATCTCTGTCATCTGGAGATGAGTTGTCATCAGTTGTTGGTTAAATGTTTTCCTTTCATAATGCTTTCCCTCGTGGGTCTGAGAGCAACTGATTATTGTGCTTTTTAAAAAGCCAGTTTGATGTAGTAGTTAGGTGTGTGGACTCTAATCTGGGAGAACTGGGTCAGATTCCCTACTCTTCCACATGCAGCTGCTGGGTGACCTTGGGCAAGTCACAGTTCTCTCAGAGCTCTCTCAGCCCCACCCACCTCACAGGGTGCCTGTTGTGGGGAGGGGGAGGGGGAGGGAACGAGTTTGTGAGACTCCGAGAGAAGGGCAGGGTATAAATCCAATGTCTTTTTCTTGTTATGCTTTTTAAAAAGCAGTATTTACTGCTCTTAATAGCTCTGTCGGCTGTCTAAAATCTAGGCATTTAACCCTGGAGATGGATACAGTCATGAGCCTTTGGCATGAACCCAAAGGCCTATATGAGTAGGACCAGTGTATGCAGAACTAGCCCAGGCTGTGATGAATTGTGCTGGTTGTTTGCTTTCTGGCTGTTAATTTAAATTGTATCTTTGTATTTGGGAAGCTGCTTTGGGTCTCCACAGGGGAGAAAAGCAGAGTCAAAATACTTAAATAAGTACTTACTGTGTTCTGGTCTTTCTAGTGTGCTAAATAAGGGAAGGCTATATCCGTATTATTTCAGATCCAAATGTGATTTTTGTCATGGGGCCATTACTGCGAACCATTACAACAAATTGACCACTGATAGTTGCATAGCCTACACACACCCTGACAGGAATTCTTCCTCATACAATAATTCACTTCAAGGAGAGTAGTCCTGAAACCTGAATTACTTACCAAACAAAGCAGTACCTGTGGATACATTCATGGGTGGTTTATCTGTGTCATTTATTTTGACTACTGCATCTTACTACAGAAAACACATAAGCAATCAATGAGAATACAACCAAAATCCTATGCGAATCGAACAAAACAGCCCTCTTGCAACAGGAATGCTATGGTGAATTCAGATGCTCTTTTCAGTGTGTACTACACGCACAGTAATCAATTGCTTCCATAAGAACAGAAAAAATAATAGGCTCTTAATGGGATGTTTTGGAGTGTTCTCATAGAGTCCCATTTGCATTAAATATTTCTCTTTCTTCCCTGCTTCCAATTATTTTTAATAGAGACTCAAGGAGCTAAAACAGAGGGAGTTTGCGCGAAACGTCGCCTCCAAATCGAGGAAAGACGAACGGAAACAGGAAAAGGCTCTTCAGCGATTGCACAAGTTAGCTGAACTCCGGAAGGAAGCTGCATGGTAAGTGGGAAGTTATGAAAGAGTAAACAGAGTCAGAAGGGGGAGGAGCTACCTCAGCCCACATGGGCAATGTCTCCTGACAATTTAACTCTGGAGTCAGGGGGGGAAAGGATGTTTCCATTGCACTTGCTGAGCCATATGTGTCAATTAGATTTGCCCCTCCGTGAAGCAATAAATGTTTAACATTACTTTTTCATCAGAGCTAAAATGACAAGTATTTTAGTTAAAAAAAACACCATGTTGTATATATATTTAATACAGGCAAGACTAGTGGAGGAGCCCATTAGGGAACTAGGTCAGGTGCTTGAAGCTTGGCAAAACTCCATTGTTGAGGGAAGCAATATACCATGTTGCAGTTAGTTAGCTCAGTTATTCCATGGCATTTGACGTGGTTTATGAATTACAACCTTAAGCACCTTGTCATTAGTGGTTGCTAATACATTCTGTAGTGGCGATTTGCTATGGATATCCAGGGCTCTTTTTGTAGAAAAAGCCCAGCAGGAACTCATTAGCATAATAGGTCACACTCAACAGCAGAAACACATTAGCATATTAGGCCACACCCCTGACAGTACAGCTCATTAGCATATTAGGCCACAACCCCGTGTTACCAGAAGTGTGGTCATCCAGCCACACTCACCTTTTGCTTCTTATTCTGTTTACCTTGTTTGTTGCGGCCATACAAGGGAAAACTCTATGGTTTTCCCTTGTATGGTCGTGGCCCCGCCCCCAGCGTGCCCGGTGTCAGGACGTCACTTCCCTGTGACGGGCATGCGGCGCGCGCGCCGGGATCCGCACAGGAGTCCCCCACTGGCAAGGTAAGTGCCACTTGGCAACCCTATTCTGTAGTGGTGATTTGCTATGGATATCACCATCATCATTAAAATTTCTGGATCACTAAGTCCATGAATACACATGGCTGTGGACAATTTACAAGTTAAAAACAGTGCAACATTTCAAATTAAAATCAACAAAACAATTATCCTTAATTTATGGCATCCTTAATATCATCAAAAACCTACTCTGGCTGTTCTTCTATCTCATGGCCACATTAAAGAGGAGGCCGAAGCGGGCAGAGTGGAAGAAAAGAGGGTGCCAGCTATGATGGGAAACCGATGCTGCCCTCAACCAAAAGCCTGGCGGAACATCTCTGCCTTACAGGCCCTGCGGAATTGGCAGAGAATTCCCCCAGGTCAGAGCCAGGGCCAAGAAAGCTCAGACAGGCAATTTTTATACATGACCCTTGATCACTTAAGGGCCTCCATCACACAAACGACACCCCAATATCATCTTTGTGAACAAAAACATACAGTGGGCTGGATCCACCCTCCCCCACCCACGCCATTCTGAGGGAAGTTGCTTCTACTAGTGGAAAGGGTAGGTTCACCATTTCTGCAGATTATCCCTCGAGCTGCAGCCCCAAAGGTCTCCCAACCTCAGTGGCAGCTTTGGAGGGGCATAGAGGACCGAGGACCTGATGTCCAGAATTTAAAATTACCCAACTACACCACTGTCCCTGCAAAGGAATTTGGATGCACACAACTGGTCTTCAGGAGGATCTCAAGGAAAAGGTTGCTACTGAATGAAGCGCTGATCGATTTTGATCAATTGATGGAGGGAACATGAGAGAAGAGGCCTCTCTTGCATGCTCTAGAAACTGTTAGCACTGGTGGAAATACAGGTGGAAAGAGAGAGAGGGCAAGTTATAAATCAGGGCTGATCTTTGGAATGACATCATTTCCCATATAGGTAACTCCACACAATCCTCTTCTAATACTATGCCCTGCTTCTTTCCTTGGTTCTTGCTTGTTCTACCTGAAATCCAAAAGCAGCCTTCTGCACATGACCCCTCTATCCATCCAGTCAATGTGTGGAGAGGGAGTAGGGTTGCCAGCCTCCAGGTGGGGCCTGGAGATCTCCCACTTTTACAACTGATCTCCAGTTGACAGAGATCAGCTCCCCTGGAGAAAATGTTGGTTTTGAATGGTGGACTCTATGGCGTTGTACCATGCTGAGGCCCCTCCCCTCCCCAAACCCCGCCCTCTCCTGGATCCACCCCCAAAGTCTCCAGGTATTTCCCAACCCAGACCTGGCAACCCTAAGAGAGAGAGAGAATCAAAGCATGCAGGTCCCACCCCCACTGTGTACATTCCCTCTCCATGATCAGGAACATTCAGAAAGCGGTGTCCCTGATCATGCACTTTAAAGGATCTTGCGACCCTTTGTAAGGGTGTATCTCTAAGAAAAACAAAAATGAAACACCCCATTGCCTTTAGCTGAGTTAGCAGCAGTTCCTCAATGTCAGAACCCATAGATAGCATTGAATCAACACACACAAATGTGCGAAGACTTTTACAGCCTTTATTGTAGGTGTCTTCACAGATTCCAAGTGCTAATAGCATTTACCTCATCACTGCAAATCTGAGTCTCTTATAAGCTTGCCATTCCCTCATGGGGGTGGGGGTTTGCCCGCTTTTAGGGTGCCCGACCCACCAGCTGAGATCGGACCAGTGAGGGGAACACCACCCCCAAAGTGCCAGGATTGTGCCAATGTCCCTGGTGCGTTGACATCACACAGAGGTGACGTCATCACACCAGGCACATCGCTGTGGGGACACTCTAGCACTCAGCCAAAAAAACCCCTCAATGGTACCATAGAGTTTCTGGCTGAAAGCTAGAGCATCCCACCGACATTGTGCCTAGTGCAATGACATCACTTCCAGGTGCCATTATGGCGCATGCACCAAAATATCCCAGATAGGAAGCATCGTCCCCCCACCGGCAAAAGGTAGGGCTCTGGCAACCCCAGTCTCTTAGCTCTTTCTAAATCGTCATTATGGCGCATGCGCCAAAATATCCCAGATGGGAAGCATCGTCCCCCCACCAGCAAAAGGTAGGGCTCTGTCAACCCCAGTCTCTTAGCTCTTTCTAAATTGATTGGCTGCCATTTTGAGGTAGTTTTCTGTGATACTGGCAGGCCACATCCATTTCTCTTTTGTGACATGGTAAAGTCACCACAATGTGGCAAACTTGTTTCTGTTTTGAGTGATAAATTGGGCCTACAAGTGGTGAGACCTGTGATTTGAAATACCAGAGAACTGTTTAAAGATTTACCGTGCTGACTGGAAGTTACAAGCCCTTGTTTAAAGAGCAAATCATAGATCTAAATGTTGGTGGCCTGGTAACCAGCAGGAGATGGAGGGCAGAGACATGGGGGAAGACAACCATCAGCAGTGGTGTGACATCACTTCTGGGAAAACCCTGGAAGTGATGTCATACTTTTTCAGAGATAGCTGGAAATTCTATCATCTTATCAGAGTCTCCAGAAATTCCTGCAGAGATGTGATGTCACATTAGGGTTTTCCCTGGAAGTGATGTCATAGCATAATCAAAATAGCCCTTTTTTATTTTTATTTGCTCCCACTGCTACTCAAAGCCAGGGACTAGGATGAGACATTTCCTAGCCCTGGTGTGAGACTGACCGCCCCATCCATAAGAAATATTTACAGACTAAAAATGCTAAGAAAGTGTCCTTTTTGCTGATTTACCACAGCCAAAAGAAATCCGAGAACTGGGCCTAGAGTGGCCAACCTCCAGGAGATGTCTCAGAATTACAACTGATCTCCAAACATCAGTTCCTCTGGAGAAAATGGCTGCCTTGGCTGGTGGGCTCTATAGCATTATACCTGGCTGAGCTCCCTCCCTTGCCAAACCCCACCTTTCCCAGGCTGTACCCCCAAATCTCCAGGATTTCCCAACCTGGAGTTGGCAAGCCCAACTAGACCTGATGCTAGACATTTAGTCTAAGTTTTTCAAGCATTAGCTGTACCAAACCTGAATTATCCAGCAACAAACCTGCTCTCCATTTTCCTAGTTTTTGATTCACTTTCCCTCTCTTACTTGGACCCTTTGGAGAGGTCTGCATTTAAAGAAATCAACATCGGTGGGTTCACTGAGTGATCTCCGGGTCCTTTCCTCAAAGATTCCGCGATCATTCAGGCTGCGAGCCACAAACCACCTGAGCTGTATTGCTTGGAAATGAAAGAACGGAGTTTCTTTAGCTGCAGTGCAGCCAAATCCATTTAAATCCCCGGACTCTGATTCAGCTTGTTGCCGACCGGGGCGCACATGGTTATTTTCCCTCTTACTCCTCAGGCCTTTGTAACCTTTAAATAACTCACAGCTAGAGGTTTGTATCTAACTCCCCATGCTGTGCTAATGATCATATTATACCTAATGGTATATTTATTAATGGTGTGCTGCGGAGAAGGTGAAGGACAATGGATCAGCCTATGTGTAAACATATCTGAAATTGCAAGCTGGACCCCTGGGGTACTGTATATGTTTAGATACTGCTATAAATGTTTTAGAAATACATCTGAAGAACAATGCATGCTACATCAGAGGAAATGCAAACCGGCCTGGGAGTGGGTCGCTGTGGCAAGGGTAACTGTTTCAAAGGACCCCAGGGGGTTCCCTACTTATCCTCACGCAACAATTTGTGCATCGAGTAAGAAGTGTTTAAAAGTCATTACACAATGGCTTGAAACCCAGCCTGCATCCCAAGAATCTCCTTTTAAAACAGAGGGGAGTGGACTGCAAACAGTGCAGTGCTAGGCAGAGTTAGACCCTTCTAAGTCTACTAAAGTCGACAAACCCTGCTGAGGACTGCATGTATACCATGGTCAATGATATGCACTTTCTGTGATATGCTCAAAGACAGTATGGCTAGGCAGAGCCAGTATGGTGTGACACAGGCTAGTGGACCTAAGTACAAAATTAAGAAGAAGAGATTGGATTTATACCCCGCCCTTCACTACCCAAAGGAGTCTCAGAGCAGCTTACAAACTCCTTTCCCTTCCCCTTCCCAAAACAGACACCCTGTGAGGTAGGTGGGGCTGAGAGAGCTCTTTCCAGAACTGTTCTTTCAAGGACAGCTCTGACAGAACTATGGCTTGCCCGACGTCATCCAACAGCTGCAAGTGGAGGAGTGGGGACTCAAACCCGGTTCTCCCAGATTAGAGTCCGCAGACTTAACCACTACACCAAACTGACTCTTATGACCAGTGTTCCCTCTAAGCTGAGTTAGTGTGAGCTAGCTCATAGTTTTTTAGCCTCCAGCTCACACATTTTTGTCTTAGCTCAGACAGGATGACTCCAGAGCAAACTAATTTATGCAGCAGCCAAATCACTTGTTCACAAGGTAGAATTTTTGCTCACAAGACTCCACAGCTTAGAGGGAGCATTCCTCATGACTGCTGCAGGAGGAGTCATCTACAAAATGTCACTGAGTGAGGTCATGCATAGCTCTAACAGCAACTCTTCGGCATGTCTTTTAAAATGAACATATTATTAAAAAAATACTTGTTGCTTACATACAGCTTACCTTCACTTAGTCAGTGAAGATACTTGTGCTATGGTGGCAGCTGGCCAATCAGAAACCCTGCTGGGCAAAAGCCACACTGGGCCCCACCCACTTTTAGGCTGCCAGCCTCTAAGTGGGGCCAGGAGATCTCCCACTTTTACAACTGATCTCCAGCTGACAGAGAGCAGCTGCCCTGGAGAAAATGGCTGCTTTGAAGGGTGGCCTCTGAGGCACATTACCACACTGAGGCCCCTCCCCTCCCGAAACCCCACCCACTCCTGGTTCCACCCCCAAAGTCTCCAGGTATTTTCCATCCCAGACCTGGCAACCCTACCCACTTTCTAAAGTCATTTGGTGAGTGCCCGAAAAGGTGTTGTTGGCCACCGTGGCACCCATGGATGCCACATTGTGGTCCCCAAGGATTGTCAGACTAGAACTGCAGAGCTTTGCATTTGAATCCCCACTCAGCTACAAAGCTTGCTGAGTGGCTGTGGGCCCATCTCTCTGTCTCTCTGTGTCTGTCTGTCTCTCTCTGTGTGTCTCTGTCTCTCTGTCTCTCTGTCTCTCTCTCTCTCTCTCTCTCTCTGTGTCTGTCTGTCTCTCTCTCAGTCCAAGCTACCTTCCAGAGGTGTTATGCAGTTAAAATGAAGGAGAGGGGGAAAAATGTATTGTCACAGACGTCCCTTTTCTGGCAGCTAGACAGACCAGGATCTAGGAAGCCACCAGAGCCAGCTTGGTGTAGTGGTTAAGTGTGTGGACTCTATCTCTGGGAGGACCGGGTTTGAGTCCCCACTACTCCACTTGCAGCTGTTGGATGACCTTGGGCAAGCCATAGTTCTGTCAGAGCTGTCCTTGAAAGAGCAGTTCTTGAAAGAGCTCTCTCAGCCCCACCTCTTCTTCTTCTTCTTCTTCTTCTTCTTCTTTCCGGGTACCTCAATTGCCAGACTTTAGTCCACCAGAAAAGGGGGAGAATCCATAAAAAGGATTATTCTCCTACAGAAAAAGAGAGTATTCAAAGGATTGTATCCTTTGTTGTGGTTTTTAATATAAAAGTGTATATGTATAGAAGAGGTAGCAGGTTTAAGGGACAAACATGGATAGAAAATGCAGGATACTCTTTGGAATCACTAGAGGCTCTCTGTCTTCCTTGGGTGGGGCAGTCGTTTTTCTAAGAAAAAGCTGAATAGTTATGTCTTCTGAACTGGCAAAAACAATTTTGAGCTACAAGGCCAGTTTTAGGGTTCCCAGACACCTGCCAGGGGTTGGAGCAGGTCTCCTGTTTTGGGGGCCTTTCCCTTGGCACCATTCAGCCAGCCAGCTGGGGGGCTTACCAGCAGCAAACCAAGGCTTAGGCCTCTGTTGCATGCAACAGGTTGATGTCACTTCTGGTGATGCGCAGACACTTTGGTATTGGGCAAAAACTTTATGGTAAAGCCGTCTTCTACCATAGAGCTATTGGCCAAATACCAGAGCATCCCCATGTAACCGTCAATGTGATGACGTCACTTCTGGTGCATGCCAGAAGTGATGTTGATGTGCCACCAGTGACAGAATTTCACAGGATAAAAAGATTCTAACACCCATACATGGGTGTTAGAATCTTTTTATCCATCGTTCTTCCTTAAAAAGTATTGACATAACCACAATAAAACATGAATGTGGACTGCTTATCCTAAAGACCTGGTGCTAGCACAGGGCATAGAACGATCCTATGCAGCAACAATTAGTATATTGGGTTCTGTACCCTCCAGTCTCTCCATTACATAGATCCAAGGCTAACTAAAAGAAGGGCTGAGGAAGAAAGGGGGAGAGCAAATGGCTTATATCTTATGAGCTTTCATCAGAAAACCTTTCTGTCTATGAGAGAAACCAAAGATTCCTAGCAACCCCTTTGTAACAACTAGCACTCAGCCAAGTTCAAGGAAAGCCTTGCAAGAAGAGTTTCAGTGTAATCCCAAGAACACTGTCCTGAGAGTGTCAATTTGAGTATAGGTTGCCAACCTCCAGGTGTGGCCTAGAGATCTCCCAGAATTACAACCGATCTCCAGACGATAGAGATCAGTTCGTCTGGATAAAATGGCTCTTTAGGAGGGTGGACTCTATGGCATTATACAGAGCTGAGGTCCATCCCCTTCCCAAACCTAGCCCTCCCCAGGCTCCAACCCGAAATCTCCAGGAATTCCCTAATGCAAAATAGGCAACTCTATGGTCCTTTCCCCATTTGCCTGCCACTCCGGATTTTCTCAATGTTTGAGTCCAGGCAATTTAGGTCCGCAGCAAAACAGCATCCAAATAACCCAGGGCAACAAATAACCCAACAACAGGCTGAAACCGGGCTGACCACTGAAGGGAAGTAATGCAGAATGGGGGGGGGGGACGGACCTGGATTAAAAAGAAGGTTGAATTTGATTTTAGTGCATGGAGGACACCACCATGAACATGGATTAAAAGGAGAGTGCAGAAAGGGCCCCTATTTGAGCACCTCATAGGAAGTGCCACTGCATGTGTGTTCTTTGCCACGAAAATGTTACGTCTGTGATGTGAAAAGGACATGCTGTGGTATTGCTAGCTGTATACCTCACATGCCTCTGAACAGTTTTTGAATGACATTGATAGAAATCAATTTTGTTTTGTTTTAGCGCACCAGGGAGCGGCCCTATGTTCAGATCCACCACAGTGACAGTCCGAGACCACTGTAACGAGATCCTCGTCAACTCTGCGAAAAACGAGCAAGAATTTGACTTCACGTTATTGCACAGCTCCAAAGCTCCCGGAGATGTTACCTCTGTTGCTGTGTCCACACCTGAAGCTGCAAAAAACAGTAAACCAGATGCTAGCAAGCCCGGTGATCCAATGCTGGGTCTCCATGGACAGAAGGTGGGGTTCTCTTTTGCTTTTCCCAAGAAGGCATCGGTCAAGCTCGAGTCCTCGGCGGCTGCGTTTTGTGACTACAATGATGACGCATCAGCTGAACACGGGCTTAGCAGGAGAAGTCGGTTTGTTCCTGGGCCTTCAGCTGCATCAATTGAAGAAACCAGTCTGGGTATGGAGGAAAAACCTAACCCTGTTGCTCCACTGACAGAAAAACACAGTGACAAACCAGAACTCACTCCGCTGCAGGACTCCAAGGAGCCACCTGTTGAGGAGAGCCCAATGCAAGAGGCCACTGAATTATGTTCCCCTCTTTCCCATTCAAAAGAAGCCGAACCTAGCAGTCTGGAGGGCTTTGGCACTGACGTGGATTCAACAGCCTCGACTGATGAAAGGTCCAGAGATGCCCCGGGAAGCCAAGCTCTCCCTGCAGAAAACAATAGTGACGAGCACATCGGAAATAAATGTGCAGGTCTTCCCATCAATGAAGATTGTTTTTCGCAGCAGGAAACGCAGGAAGGAAATGATCAGAACGTTGGTAGCGACTCACACGCTGCTGAAGACGAAATTAAGAAACCCTCGTCTGATGAACTGATTCCAGCAAATTCTGAAGGAGAAACGATAGCTCTGCCTTGTAAGCAGGAGCCACGCAAAAGACCCTGTGAGCCGTTTGTTCCTGTGCTTAACAAACATGGATCAACCATTCTTCAGTGGCCATCGGAAATGTTAATTTATACAAACACAGAGCCATCTATTTCATATAGCTGTAATCCTTTATGTTTTGACTTCAGGTCATCAAGAGCCAGCAAAAGCCTGGAGAGAAACAAACCTCAGGCAAATATGCCTAATTCTCCTCATAAAACTGATTCCAACCGGGGTTCAGTTAGAGATTATATGCATAAATCTCATTTGGTATGTGCTGATTGCGTAATTGACATTAATGCACCTCCATGTAGCCATGCAACATCAGTTTTGATGAATGGTTCTTCAGCTGAAGTTTCGAGTTCTGAAAAAAGCCAGGATGAATTGGCCTTGGATGCTTCTTGCAAGACTGAAGAGAAAGAGAAAGACCACAGTCTCCCAAAAGAGCCGCAAGAGGGCTCATCGACTGATGAACAAGATAAAAGATGGATCAAAAGAACACATGAAAAATGGTTTCATAAAACTCGGAAGAGGAAAAGAAGAAGAAAGCTATGTCATCACCATCATCGGGACACTGCCAAGGTGGATACTGGTATTTCTCCAGCACCTGAAAAACAAGATAATTGTGTTGATGTTAAGAAACATCAGAATCTTCCTAATCTTATGGAACAAGATATGAGTGAAACTAGACTGGATGACTCAGTTTCAGAACTGTTAAAGCCATCACATGAATCTCCTGGGGCTGAGAACAGTGATGACTGTGAAACCATATCTATGTCTACACAGGACCATGGTAACCAAAGTCCATGCCCAGCTTGGAATGTGAAAGATAACAGGGAATATTGTATTAACTCTGAAAACCTGTGTAGAAGGAGCAAGCCAGTTTCTCACAGACAATCAAATAAGCCAGGATTGAATTCTGGAAGATGTAATTCAGTGTATTCTAGACCCTTGTGTAGCTGGAGTATCAAAAGGTCCAGCAGTAGCCCATATCACAAACATTTAGGCCATTATCCCAGTGAGAAATGCACAAATCAAACACAGCCCATAAAGAGAGCCTATAATTCTCTCGCAGACGAGCCAGATTTTTTTCACCGAAAAAGAAGACATCATGCATACTCTTGTTCATCGGATGAAAGTTCAAATGCCCAGAGCTCCCTATCAGAGGAAAATGTGCAGCAAACATACAATTTTAGAGTATCTTGTAAGCCTAAACGTAAACGAAGGAGAAAGAGAACAAGAACTCATCATGTGTTGATAGAGAGGCCACCAAGAAAGACTATCAGTGTAGAGCCTCCAAAAGGAGTCTCCATATTCAACAACACTCCTAACATATCAGCTGAAGATACCATAGAGAATGTAAATCCTCCTTGCGTGACTGATTATGCAAACAGTACGGAAGAGGCAATACAGCCGATAGAAAGTCAACCAGCACCACAACCTGAACATTTACTGCCATCAGAAAACATCCAAGGATCAAACTGTTCCATTACAAAGAGTACTCCATATCTGGAAGAATCCACATGTTCCACTTCTCCTATTACTGAACAGAGTGTCCTGGCAGCAACTAAATCTATCAACGTGCTGGAAGAGAGAGAAAAACATGGAAACATGAGTGTTCCTGGCAGTCAACCTCCTAAAAAAGTGCCCAGTATTGAGAGGAATCTGGACCAAGCTCCACCTAAATCATATCTGTGCCACTACGAAGTGGCAGAGACCGTACCGCCGGGAAAACTTCACCCATCTGCAAATGAGTGGCTGCGGTATAATCCAGGTCTATTTAATACTCCACCTCCTTTGCCCTTTAAAGAAGCACATATAAACAGTCATGCTTTCTTGGCCAGTGAGCAAATCCTCACCCCATTCACCTTACCCGAACATGCACTGCTCTTGCCCCCCGAAAACCACGACAAATTCAAAGACCTTCAATGCGAGGCCTACCACCAGATCTTCCAGCAAAACATATTAGCAAATAAGGTGAAGCTGACCTTTCCTCCGGCTGCGCTCCCACCTTCGACTCCTCCTCTGCAGCCCTTGCCCTTGCAGCAGCCACTGTGTTCTACCTCTGTCACCACAATCCATCACACTGTTTTGCAACAGCATGCAGCGGCAGCAGCCGCAGCTGCCGCCGCCGCCAGTACATTTAAGGTCCTTCAACCTCATCAGCAGTTTCTTTCCCAAGTCCCCACTCTTTCACGGGCACCTTTACCTCATTTGTCGGTTGGGCCAAGACTTTGTCCCGCGGGCCACACAACCATCATAGGTCCACCTCAGCTGCCTCTCATTCCAGCTTCCGTCCTCCACCCTAATCATTTGGCTTTCCCCCCTTTACCCCATGCACTGTTTCCATCGCTTCTGTCACCGCACCCAGCGGTCATTCCCTTGCAGCCCCTCTTCTGAGCTTCATGTTGACCAGTTAAAATGGAAGGGTGTGTCTTCAGTGGAATAGATACATACATGACCAGCACCATTCATTAGATACTTTGACAAATCAATGAACCAAGATTAAGGGGTTACAAGAGCCTCCTTATCTGGGAGGTATTTGCTATTGGTGCAACAATGCAAACATTTATATGTAAAGTGCAAATTCATATTAAAATTAAAGCACTGAATTGGTACTAATACAAATGATATATATAGATATATATATAGATATGTATGTATGTATGTATGAAGATGTCTTAAAATATATAAACCTGTACATAAAATATATTTATAGTACTGTAAGTTATGTTATAAAGTATGCTCCTGGGTTGTTGTTTTTTTTTAATTCTACTTGTGTATTTGCACCTAAGTCATGTTTAGATAAAACCGATGCACTATGTTTTGTATGACATTCCCTTATCACCATAAATCTAGTGAGAAACTCTCTCTTGCAATAAATTTCTTTTGTTACGGATTTAACGATATTAAAACATATATATCTCTCTCATTTACTGTTAGCCTCGCAGACCATCGTTTTGTAACATTTAAATCTTAGGTTTTTCTCCATTGGGGTCATCAGGTTTCTCAGCCTTTGGTGATGTATTGCCTAGGCACAGAAGCTAAAACCTTCAGGGAAACCATCTTACTGAGAAGAGGGCAAAGGGTAATAGATCTGATTGTCTTAGCAGTTCAATGCTGGAGAAACAAATATTGCCCATTTGCAGTGTGGGCCCAAACGGCTGACTCGACAAACAAGAAACTGAGCAGCAAAAGCCTGCCTTTTGTTTTGTGTACGGCTGTGAGAAAACACAGTCAAAAAGCTCTGTTGTCCTTAAGAAGGCTGCCGAATTTTACAACTCCACGAATTCCAACTTCGAAAAGTCCCCAATTGGATTTCACTTCTCCTGGATGCAAATCGAACCCAAAAGTCTTATGCCATTTTCCGTTTCACATTAAATGTATGCAACTGTTCAGGATTTTTTTGAGGGGGGATGTTGATGATCTATTGGTTATGTGAAAGTGCCATTAAAAAAGGCTTGAAAGAAAAATACTGGGATTGCCGGCGCAAAAAAAAAAAAAAAAAAAAACTGAACAATTGTTCACAATGAGAACATTTGAAAGCAGAAAGGAGTTCTAAAGGGCCTGTTCATGTTAAAGTCAGATCAAGCAACCTGGCACACCTTGTTTATGATTTACATCCTACAGAATAATCTGCCACAACCCAGTGAACTGCTCCTGCCCATCCCAATGCCAAACACAGCAGCAGCAGCAGCAACTGTTTACCGCTTCCATACCCACTGATGCACTGACCTTGTTAAATCTGGGAAGCTAAGCAGGGTTGGTCCTGCTCAGTACTTGAATGGGAGGCCAACACGGAAGTCCAGGATTGCTTCACAGAGGCAGAAAACAGCAAACCACCTCTGTTTGTTACTTGCCTTGAAAACCCAATAGGGTCGCCATAAATCGGTTGCAGCTCGACAGCACTTTTCCACCACCATCCATTGAAAAGCTCCACAGGTGAAAGTAGGAGCTGATGGCATGCCCACCAAGGGGATCCTGACAAGAATAGCATAGCCACCCTGCATATAATTTAGGAATACTCACCCTGTGAAGTGGCAGCATCATGCTGTGATTTGTCCCCATATCTGCCAGTGTATGATGTAGAGTGATGAAAGGGAGGCACACTCCATGACTTGTTAAGATTACACAGCAGGATGGGACAGCTTTCCACAACAACAACCCCAATGCCTGTTCCCATTCCCTAATCATCTTGGTTGCCCTCTTCTGTACTTTTTTCTAGCTCTGCAGTGTCCTTTTTGAGATACGGTGGCCAGAACTGCACACAGTATTCCAGATGAGGCTGGACCATGGATCTATACAGGGGCATTATAATATCAGTAGTTTCATTCTCAGTTCCTTTCATAATAATCCCTAAACCTAATTCTTAGTTTCATAACTGCAGGTTTTTTCACTTGACCACTGTAGCATCAAGTGATAATTTGCACATGTGAAATGTAACAACGTAATAGTGTAACAGGACTTCTTAAAATCATGACAGCTTTCCACAACAACATCCCCAATGTCTGTTCCCATTCCCTAATCATCTTGGGCTGCAGTCACACGGAGCATTCCTGGGGGTGTGGGGGAGGTATTTGTGAATTTCCTGCATTGTGCAGGGGGTTGGACTAGATGACCCCGGAGGTCCTTCCAACTCTTTGATTCTGTGATTCTATATCATCACAAACTTAGCGCATTCAGATGTTCAGTTGACACCATAAAGTGATGTTCACACAGGTAAGCTCCATCCTTAGGGATGCCCATAGTCAACAAAGTGAATGCCCACACCTGGCAGATCCAGATACCATCCTAGAGGCCACCACTGCAGACTGGCCTAACATATAAGCAACAGAAAGAATTTTTTTTCAAGGGAACAGAACAAAGGTAACCTTCTGCTTTGACACTTGAGGGATGAAGAGAGAGAGAAAAAAACACCCTTGACAGATGCCTGGCAAACTTTTCAGTGTGCCTTTGTTCGACTTCCAGGTTGGCAACAGCCAAGCATTTTTTGCTATCTGATTTCCAGTCATAGTTTATTATAACAGTCACAGATCAGATAAAAATAGTTTTACACATAGCTAGGGATAAAATACAAATCTGCCATAAATATACTACTAAAATGAACATCCAGGTTATAATTCCTGATTTCCAGTACGGGGGACGAAGAGAAAATGTGGTGTGGAGGCGACCAAGGAGCGGCAGGCAGATGGAATCCTTTGATCTGGGTTTGGGTTTGGGGTTTGGGCCACTGGGGGAAACTACCATCAATCTCCCACCATTAGCTGAACTAACTTGACAATGGATACATCTGTCAGTGTTGAAAACAGATCTGAAGTACCCTCAGTAAGACAAAATACCTTATTTTTAACTTAAATACAAATGTTCATTTTCTTGGCTTTTCTCTCTTTTTACAGTATTTTAAATTCAGCTGACTGAAATCACTAGTTTTTGAACTATAATATGACACCTTGTTGTAGACACTAACCGTTCTGAAGTCTTATTTCCTGAATGGCAGAAATCTGACCTCACATGGTACATCGTAAGTCCTTTCATTCTTATCCACAATGCCAACATTTAGAATAGTTCAGCAAGAAATTTAAAATGTTTTTTTTTAATGTTGCTATATCTTTCAATCACCTGGGCCCATAGAATTAATTAATCTTCAGACGGCAATGATAAACCTAAATTAGGTTATAGATTTTGTTAAATTGCTTCCCATTCCCAAAACAGCTATCAAGAGAAATGATTGAAAAGTTAATATGTTCCACCCAAATGAGAAATGCACTATCTTTCCTCTTCCCACCTTGACCTTGGGAAAGGAGAGGTCTGACCAGACCATGTCCTGGAGGCATATAATTTCTCAAGTAATATGAATCATAAAATAATGCTCTAAATAGGATTTTCATTAACACTGCATAGTCATATTCTCTTGCAAGACAGCTTGTCAATAAGCAGCTATATAATCACAAACTGTAGCGGGAGTGAAGAGAAATTCTTGCTCGTACCTGGAAACAAAAGAAGCCTGGTGGTGCCTAAAAGGTGACCAAAGATGGTTATTGCTGCAATTGACTAACATGGCTTCCCCTCCCACAAATGCTCCTTTGGGATGACTTATAGAATCATAGAGTTGGAAGGGACCTCCTGTCCAACCCCCTGCACAATGCAGGGAATTCATAACTACCCCCCATACCCCCAGTGACCCCTGTTCTATGCCCAAAAGAGGGCAAAAACACAAAAACCCCACAAAAAACACCAACCATCAAGGATCCCCGGCCAAACTGGCCAGGAGAACAATTGCTTCCTGATGCCAAAGTGGCAATCAGCATTTCCCTGGGCATGTAAGAAAGGGCCACAAGAACGAAGCACTGTACCACAGCCGAGTGGGCTATATTTACCTTGTGCATCACAAGTTGTACAGGCTTAGCCTAGGGTGACCATAGCATGAGGCTCCTCAGGGCCTGAGTTTATTAGAGGAGGGGGAGGGAGGGAGACAATAAACACATGGCAAGCACATGGATGCTCACCACTTGGTGAAATTCTCTGCAACAGCCACACTCAGAGTGGTGGACTGCTGAGTATATTCCACCTCCCACCACTGTGTGTCCCTAAAGAGTTAGGGGTACGAGATGTCCTTGCTGGAGAAGGTCTGGAGATGCTGGGGGGGAAGGGCTGTGGCTCAGTGGAAGAGCCTCTGCTTTGCATGCAGAAGGTCCTAGGTTCAATCCCCACCATCTCCAACTAAAAGGGCCAGGTAGGAGGTGATGTGAAAGACCTCCATCTGAGACCCTGGAGAGCCATCGCCAGTCTGAGTAGACAGTCGTGACCCTGATGGCCAGATGATCTGATTCAGGATAAGGCAGCTTCCTGTGTGTTCATCTGAGTTAGTGTACCAAAGTGTGGGTGAACAACTGTTCATTGGCTAACGAAACACAGCAGAGAGAAATATAATAGCAGCAATGGCAGGTGCCAGGTTCCGCTGGCCACTCCGTTGCTGCTCACTTGCACATTGCTGCAGTGCAGTCCTGGCCGCTGAATTTAAGCCATTTAAATTCAGTGCAGTCCTCTGCCATTGCCTCCTGGTGCCCTCTGGTAAAGGCACCACACACCTGTCCCCCTCCATCAGCACTCAGTGGCGGGAGCTGCCCCCAGTGGCAGTGATGACAGCAGTTTTAAAAGTTCACTGACAATAACGGAAATAGATTTCCAGTCATTGCAGTTATATCTGTGGATGGACATGACCACAGGCTACAATGGGGAAGGGGGGCGCATGGGTGCAACTGAAGACAGTCAAGCTGCATCACATAGAGACAGTTTTTTCCATGTGAACCAGCCAAAGGAAATAGGGTCTACTGAATAGACAGTCAAGACCAGTGTTTGGGGGGGGGGGAGGTGCTGGAACTCTCAAAAGGAAAATGACG